CCCCAAAACCCCAAAACCCCAAAACCCCATTTCCTCTCACCCCAATTGTAATTTTATTTTCATAACAAAAATGCAGTCTTCTTCAGATCAAGTTCCTTCCATGCCTGGAATCCCTTGTAAACTCCCAGAGTCAAAATTCGACCTTCTGCAGCACTATGCGCCTGCGTACAATAGGCATGGGTACCAGATCATGAACAGTAAGCACAAGACCAAGAACACCTCTGTCTTGTTTGAAGGTATTAAGGGTCTTGGAAGAAACCATGATACAAATTTTACGTTCAGTGATATCCAAGCCAAGCGTAAACTTGGCAATTTGCCGCACCCCAGTTTTGACCTGAATGGGGATGGGACAGTCTGTAGGTCAATGAGTTACTTTTTAGCCATGCACGAGCTTGCGATTGGGAAACGGTTTGATGAAGATAAGGATGGAGTTTTGAATGACCAGGAAAGGAAATAACTGACTTGAAGCCCTGAGGAACGGGTTTGAAAATGGCCTTTCTTGGAATAGAGATAAATAGTCAGCTTAGAAATAACCTGAAGAAGGGAACATTTGTTGGTCCGAAGGGTTTGAAAGGATTTAAACGGGATTCTAGCAAGAGAAATAATAGTTTTCAACCTCAAGCTGATAGTGAAAGTAGCCAGCAGGTTAGCAAGGTTGAGAAGAAAGATTTAGCCCCTAATACAACAAAGTTAGCCACCAAAAGATTCGTGTCTCCTATGATAAAAAACAACCATATTCACTCTAGAAGGTACAGCCAGAATGAAGTTGAGACAAACCTAAATTTTGATCCAAAAAAGTTGATGTATAATAACTCATGTACTACAAAAACAGAGGGAGAGAATACAAAAGGTACGGTCATCTTTCGATATATTCTCTTCCCCATCCTACATCAAAATGTTGGATTCTAACTGTCGGTCTAGAGTTGAAAAAGTTTTCTCCAAAGCCGAATGTCCTTTCAGCGCTTGAAAGGCTGAACAACCGAGAAAATGCGTTCTATCGTCAGCGAGAATTCTCTCCAGCTAGTCGGACTACCTACGAATCTATGAAACAAGACCGGAAGAACCAGACCATGAAGGAACTGGAGAGGTTAACTGCTGATGTCCGGCCAGGGATTCAAAAGATAAATGTCCCTTTCAAGAATCTTATTGTAAAATCTTTGTTTGAGTCTTTAGAAAAGAAGTAAAAATATTGTTGAGAAAGAGTCCCAAAAAGACAGTGAAAACTCGCATAAAAGGCTGTGGCATAATAGGAATTATTATAAGGAGGAAATGGACCCCAGCACTGAGCAGCTTGAGTTTGAACTTCCTAAGGATATTTTCAAGGATTACAGGTCGATAAATAAGGTCATGAATAATGTCACTCCTAAAGTGACCCAGAAGATGTATAATTATGGCTCAAAGTACTCACTTGATAAGAGGAATAATGTTGTCATAGGTATTTTAATCGTAGTCTTATTTTAGGTGGACGAAGAGCTAACCCTAGCAGGTAGAAATTAAATTTGCAGAGAGTTTATTGACGTAATTATAGATTTGCTTCAAAGCAACTTTCCTTTAAAACAAAATAATGGTATGAGAATCTTGTAAGTTCTAGGTGAGAGGCTGTATAATCAATATCCTGAGATTCCTCCAAGTGAGAAAGACTTTGATCCAGTTCCTTCATCATTTATAACATCAACTGAAATGTCCAAAAAGCTTACTAGTTCTTCTTTATACTACATAAACCCTAAGTTTGGCGTGAATCAACCGTCCCCAGGAAAAGATCAAAACAAAAGTGTTAGATTTAAGGATGAGTCTGAAATAAGTTATAACAGGTTTAACTCTCTCAAAGAAAATTTGAGGTACACTAAAAACTCAAAGGCAAGGCAGAACTCTTCAATGCCAATAAGCCCAGCCAGATCTCCAAGAGGTACTATGAACCAGTCGACCAATAGTGACACGAAGGTATCTTTCGCCAATGCCACCTCATATGGGATCAGGTCATCAGGGTTTAGCTAACAACAGCTTGGGTTGGTTCAATCATCTCTAATTTAATGGGGTTTTGGGGTTTTGGGGTTTTGGGG